TGCCTTTGCTTGAATCTAAAAGTTATCTCTTTTCAGCTTTATCTCTATGAGTCTTTTTTGTAATGACATTATAACAAATTTTTAAGAAGTAGCTTCTGATATGGTGAAATGAAGGAAAACTGTTTAGAAGTGTAGTTTAAACTGACATATGTAGACAGGATTTTAGGTTCTAAGTAGGCTCTGGTTGAATAAAAATATAAAAAGATAGTAGGGTTTTCACAGTATGCTTTCTATGAATTATTCAGCTATATTATTTTCTGCAAGCTAAAGTTTTTATGCCCATTTCATATGAAATCAACTGAGTCTAGGTCTCAGGTGTCTTACTTGGGGAAGGATTTTCTTACATGACCTCAGGTGATCCACCCACCTCAACCTCCCAAAGTGCTGGGATTACAGGTGTAAGCTACCATTCCCGGCCTCAGATTTCTTTTTGTTTACCTCTCTTAGGGACTTACTTACCCTATGCTAACTACTAAAAATCAATTGGGAAAACAACACTAAAGCTTCTTGAGGTCTTTTTGTTTGTTTGTTTCAACACAGGATTTTGCTTTTTTGCCTAGGTTGGAGTGCAGTGGCATGATCATGGCTCTCAGTACTCTCAACCTCCTGGGTTCAAGCAGTCCTCCCACCTCAGTCTTCTGAGTAGCTGGGATCACAGGCACGTGCCATTACACCCAGCTAATTTTTAAATCATTTTGTAGAAGTGGGGTCTCACCCTGTTGCCCAGACTAGTCTTGAACTTCTGGGCTCAAGCAGTCCTTCTGCTTTGGCCTCCCAAAGTACAGGGATTACAGATGTGAGCGGACACAAATGTGTTTTATCTTTCTGAGACCATCTGCTTTACAGAGAAAGTACAGTAGATTCTCAAAGCATACGACTGAGTGTGGTGGATTGGTGTTCATTTTACTGTTGAGAAAATGTAGTAAAGACAAGATTAAAAACCATTGTTTTGACTCACTATCCTATATTTCCCATAGTTGATTGGGAACATAGGGAAAGAATGTTGTTTTATTTGATTGATGTTTTAATCATACTGTGTGATTAAATACAATAAATATGTAATACAGGCAGGGTGCGGTGGCTCACACCTGTAATCCCAAACTTTGGGAGGCTGAGGCGTGCAGATCATGAGGTCAGGAGTTCGAGACCAGCCTGACCAACGTGGTGAAACCCCATCTCTACTAAAAATACAAAAATTAGCTGGGCCCGGTGGCGTACGCCTATAATGCCAGCTACTCAGGAGGCTGAGGCAGGAGAATCGCTTGAACCTGGAAGGTGGAGGTTGCAGTGAGCCAAGATGGCACCATTGCACTCCAGTCTGGGCAACAGAGCGAGACTCCGTCTCAAAAAGAAAAAAAAAAAAAAGTAATACAATAAAGATATGTTAGAGAATTGGAATTGCAAACTAAAACAAAATAGCTGTCTTTTTTTTTTTTGAAGAGATGTGGTCTTTTCACCTCAGCTTTCCAAGTAGTTGGGACTACAGGTGCACGCCGCAGTGCCTGGCTTGCCATCTTTTGTTCAGATAGATTTTATGTATAGGGTATATGGGGTTCATAACCCACCTAATGTCTTTAACTGTTAGAGAAACAGCACTATGTGAGCTTTTTAATGGAAACTTATACCTGTGACTTTTAATAGCTTTACTGTGATACTTAACACTTAGCTTTTTTTTTTTTTTTTTAAAGATAGAGTCTTACTCTGTCTCCCAGGCTGGAGTAAAGTGGCATGATCTCAGTTCACTTGAACCTCCCAGGTTCAAGTGATTCTCTTGCCTCAGCCTCCTGAGTAGCTACAGGCACACACCACCACACCTGGCCAGTTTTTGTACTTTTAGTAGAGGTGGGGTTTCACCATGTTGGCCAGGCTGGTCTCAAACTCCTGACCTCAAGTGATCCGTCTGCCTTGGCCTCCCAAAGCGCTGGGATTACAAGTGTGAGCCACCAGGCCTGGCCAATAATTAATGCTTCACTTTGAACTTCTTTTGCCTTCAGTTTATTAAAATTTAAGTTGAATACCTTCCCAAAAGATTGCCTTTTAACCTATAAATAAGGAAGTCATAATGTTTTTAGGCTTGATTAACCATAAATGTCATTAATAAGAACTAGAGAACCAGTAGCCATAATCAGGCCAGCAGCTTAGTCTATGGTAAGTTCATAATAGAGGCCTTAGACAATCTCTGGACCACAAAGAGTTAAAGCACAAACGATCTGAATTTTGCCATTTTTTAATTAGTTACCTTGCTTAATAGATTATCACAAACTTAGCAACTTAAAACCATATATTTACTGTATCACAGTTTCTATGTGTCAGCAGTCTGGGCATAGCTTGGTTGGGTTCTCTGCTTAGGTTCTTACAAGGCTACAGTCAAAATATTGGCCAGGCCTGGTTTCTCAGAGACTTGGTTGGAGAGGGATCTGCTTCCAGTTTCCCTCAGCTCATTGGCAAAATTTATTTCATTGCAGCTCCAGCAAGATGGATAACTTGTGTTATCACATGCACATTATCATGCATGGCACATCTCCCTTACCACATTTTATTGATTAGAAACAAATTAAGGCCCTGCCTACCACACTCAACAGAGTGAGGGGGATTATACAAATGTGTGATACCAGATGACATGGATCATGGGGCCACCTTAAAGTGAATCTGCTACAGTTTGTTTCATTGTTTTTGTTCTTTATTATCTCCTTTCTCTCTCGACCTTACCCCCCACCATCTCTCAGGCACAAGTTAAAAAAAAGAAGGGAGATAATATGATTTGTGATTGATCTATGGAAATAAGATTTCCTTTTTTCTTGTAGTGGGCTTAAAATTGAATTCAGTGGATCCAACAGTGAGCATTGATCTTAAATACTTGGGAGTACAGTTACCTTTGGCTCCAGCTACTAGTTTTCCTTTTTGGAACCTTTCAGGAACCAACCCTGCCTCTCCTGGTGAGTATGTAACATTGGTAAAGTCATACACTATTTTTCTTGAAGTTTACATTATTTGTAATGTAAGTAAAAAGCTACCTTTATTGGTGACATTTAACATTAGTCTAAGATAGGTCTTTTGTCTGTTGTTATAGTTTCGGTAAGTGATTTATACACTTACCAAATTAAAGTTTTATTAATTAATTAGGTCCATAATATTGGCCTGCTAGAATTTTGGTCATCTGTTTGACTTTTTCTTTTATAGATGCGGGATTTCCCTTTGTTTCTAGGACAGGGAAAACCAATGATTTCACTAAGATCAAGGGATGGAGGGGAAAATTTCATAGTGCTTCTGCATCTAGGAATGAAGGTAATTAGTTTTTAAAAATTTTGTAAATGTTCTGAAACATGTAGCCAAAAACCTTTTGTTAAAAGTAAGTCTTGGTTGTTTTTCTTCATTCCTTCTCGCCATGGTTTTTTTTTTTTTTTTTTTGAGACTGAGTTTTACTCTTGTTGCCCAGACTGGAGTGCAATGGTGCGATCTTGGCTCACTGCAACCTCTGCCTCCTGGGTTCAAATAATTCTCCTGCCTCAGCCTCCTGAGTAGCTGGTACTATAGACACATGACACTGCACCTGGCTAATTTTTGTGTTTTTAGTAGAGACGGGTTTTTGCCATGTTAGCTAGACTGGTCTGGAGCTCCTGACCTTAGGTGATCCACCTGTCCCGCCTCCCAAAGTGCTGGGATTACAGGCATGAGTCACCACGCCTGGCCTGAAAATTACGCTTTTAAAAGATACTAAATCCCAGGAATTTAAAAATTAAGAACCTATGGAGAAAAACCTTTATCTTTTGTGAAATTTTGTATTAACACTTTTTCACTTATTTATTTTTATTTTTATATTTTAAGAATTTTATGGCAAGGGATGCAGGAAGGAATTTTTGATCTATTGATGATATACCTATCTTAGCAGCCTCTGATGCATGTGTACCCAGGCTGGAGTTCAGTGGCATGATCACAGCTTACTGCGATCCTCCCACCTCAGCTTCCTGAGTAGCTGGGGCATATAGATGCGCACTACCATGCCTGGCTAATTTTTTTATTATATTAAAAATACAAATCAGGTTTTGCCACGTTATCCAGGCTGGTCTCAAACTCCTGGGCTCAAGCTATCCGCCCTTCCTCGGTCTCCCAAAATGCTAGGAGTACAAGTGTGAGCTACTGTGCCTGGCCTTTCCATTAATTTTTTTACTTTCCATTTTGTAATTCTGTGACTGAGTTCTGGAACTAAAGATCATCAGATGTTGGAACTAAATGCAGATTGTTTTATTCGTTATTAATCCTTCATAAAGACTTTTATTTGTGTATTGTCCTATTCTTTTTTTATTAATTACCTTAGAATAGGGACCAGCAAACTTTTTCTGGTAAAGGGCCAAATAGTAAATATTTAAGGCTTTGCAGACCATACACTCTCTAGCAGTTACCGAACTCTGCTGTTGTAGTTCTTCAGACGGTATGTGTATGAATTAGCCTGGCTGCGTTCCAGTGAAACTTTATGACACAGGCTGGATTTGGCCCATGGGTCTCACCCTTTGTTAATCTTTGCTTTAGAACATTATGTATAATTTATATTGAAAATAAATCCATCCTTGATCGTTTTGTTGATAATTGTCTGTACTAAACATTAGAATGGCAGATTGTTTAGAGCCGTGGTTATATTCATGTTCTGTCCTTTGAATCTGCATTAATCCTGTGCTGTTAGTACTTAAAGTCAGAGAGTAATGTAGTCCAGTATATGACCATAAATTGTTGGGGGTGTGGGGGGATGGTTTAGTGGAATTACAATTTTCTACTTTGACTTTAGGCATCCCTCAAAACTAAACCTATCCACACAATTATAAGGAAACGAGCCCCTCCCTGCAACAATGACTTCTGTCGACTGGGTTGTGTATGTTCCAGTCTAGCTTTGGAGAAGCGCCAACCTGCTCACTGCCGCCGACCAGATTGCATGTTTGGTTGTACTTGTTTGAAAAGAAAAGTTGTACTTGTTAAAGGAGGATCCAAAACTAAGCATTTTCAGAGGAAGGCTGCTCATCCTCGAGATCCAGTATTTTATGATACTTTGGGAGAGGAGGCAAGGGAAGAAGAAGAAGGAATCAGGGAGGAGGAGGAACAGTTGAAAGAGAAAAAGAAGAGAAAGAAGCTAGAATACAGTGAGTATTCATTGAGAGTTAAAACTCTGCCATGTCAGTTTTTGGAAAAGTATGGTTATTTTAGAATAATACAATCTACCTTAATCCCGATCAATTATCCAATAAGAGTTTTGAGACTTATTATCCTTACATGCTGTTTCTGACTGGCTGTCTAGATGCACACACACACACACCTTTTTTAGGTTGAATTGTTCTCTGAAAATTGCTTTTTTGTGCTAAATTGAAATCATACTGTTACTTGGTTTTCTAAAATGCCCTTGACCTTTGAGTTTCTTCCATTTTCTGGATTGTGTGCATGTGCGCGCACACAGACACACGTATGTTCCTTGGAAAGACTACAGATGATCCATATAATGCATCATGTTTTCTAAAAGGAGAAGTTTGCAAAAAGACCCTCTGGTCATGGTTGAAGATTTGGGGACAAAGTAGGGGTGTAGTAAAGCTGAACATCATGTACTGTGTTGAAAATTGGGGATTTTTTTGGTGGGAGAGGATAAAATATGATGTAGATGTAGACCCAAGTTATATATTATTTCATTATTGATTTTTTTCGTTTGTTACATCTTTGTATTTTGTTCAAATGTATTGAAATGATTTTACCATATAATTGAAACAGGTTTCTTAGTTTATCAGGGGATTAATACTCCTTTTTTGGCAATTTATATTTATATTTCCTGTTGCTCTGTACTCATTTCAATCAGAGATGATGATTAATATTTCAGTGTATGTTCCATCATAAGGTCATGTTCTGCTTTCCACGTCAACAATTGTAGATCTAATTTATAATGTTAGTTTTAATGGCTTCATGTTGTTATAATCCCTTTGGTTGGATAGTTAGCCTTTTTGGGTTTTCTTTATTATAAACTGTATGGTGATGAACATCCATGTTCAGGATAGGCTATTAAAAGTGGAATTGTTGTGACAGTGCGTATATGTTAAACATTTGTAGATGTCATTAGAGTTGTACCAACTTTGGACGTATGCCAGTAGTCGGATACTGGCTGGTGCCAGTTTTCTGTTCTCTTTTTTTTTTTTTTTTTTGAGACGGAGTCTAGCTCTGTTGCCCAGGCTGGAGTGCAGTGGCATGATCTCAGGTCACTGCATCCTCCGCCTCCTGGATTCAAGTGATTCTCCTGCGCCAGCCTCCTGAGTAGCTGCGATTATAGGTGCCCAGCTAATTTTTTTGTATTTTAGTAGAGACGGGGTTTCACCATGTTGCCTAGGCTGGTCTGTGAACTCCTGAGCAGTCTTCCTGCCTCAGCTTCCCAAAGTGCTAGGATTATAGGCATGAGCCACTGTACCCAGTTAGTTTTCTATTCTAACACTGAATATTTTAAAACTTTTAAAACTGTCATATGGATAGGCAGAAATTGGTATTGTTTTAGATTTGTATTTCTTCTGTGATAGGTTTATTGACCATTTATCATAAACTTTTTTCCTATAAATTGCCTTTTTGAATTCTTTGCTAACTTTTTTTGGAGTATGTTTTTTTCCTTTAGTTTGCAGAAGCTTTATTTTTTCTAGGTTGTAATTTTGTAATTTACATTTTCATTTTGTTCAAGTTTCCCTCCCCCACTGCCCACCACCGCCAGTGAAAAAACAGTGATAGGGCCGGGCGCGGTGGCTCAAGCCTGTAATCCCAGCACTTTGGGAGGCCGAGACGGGCGGATCACGAGGTCAGAAGATCGAGACCATCCTGGCTAACCCGGTGAAACCCCGTCTCTACTAAAAAATACAAAAAACTAGCCAGGCAAGGTGGC